AAATAATAATATTAATAATCGATACTCGGGGGCGCGCGCGCGCGCGTTGACCGTGGTATAATAATAATATGTGGTAGTGGCGCGCGGTGACGAGTGTATGGTGTTTGGGGGTCAAACGGGTTATGATTCCGTGTGAGGTCTCGCGGACCCCTCGACCCGTAGTCCGCTCATCTCGTCGGTGCACGTCGTCCGGCCGGCACAATTGTCCCGGAAAGCCCCGCGTGTGTTTCGGCCAACCGGTGGGAACGCTGCGGCGGCGGCGGCGGCGGCGTCGGTGGCGTTTGACAGGTTACAACTAGCTTTGGTGGTTAATGATGATGTTAWATAGCGCCACAAGGACGACGCGCGCGATGGGATTCGGAGGCATCGTGGTTCATACCCGTCACATCAGAGCGACATGGCGGTTACCCATATGGAAGGTTTCCATGCGGTATGTATACACGCAACACCCATGTAACAAAAAAAAAAAAACGGAACGACGACGACGACGGTCGCCGCGGAAGAGGTCGAGTCGTCTACGTATCTGTATGATGTCGTTGTTGTTATTTTTTATTAATTTCTCTGGCCAGAGTGACAGCTATAGAAGCAGCAGCAGCAGCATCGGTGGCGGCGGCGGCGGAGTTTTTATATCATATTATAATGACGATTTAATAAAGCCCGTTTATACTGTCGCCGCTGCCGACACAACCCCCGCGGATCGTGAGAATATGCGTGCGGGCGGGACGCCTATCTCATATTATTATTATACAAACCACAGTCGCCGGACTCGGTGTGTTACCTGTCGGTGCCGCTGACCACCGGTTGTGCCCGCGAAAATATGTCAAAACGTGTTTTTCCAACGGGCCGACAGATTTTACGAACGATTTTTTTTTTCGGAATCCTTTCGGCTCCGCCCGACTCTGCTGCAGCTGTGTTGACAATGACACTCGAAATATTTCCAAATCCATTTAATCCGATTTGCGATGCACATACATACGCGGTACGAGCATAAACGTACAATAATAATATAATAAAAATATTATGCGATTGTGTGATGGTGTGTGCGCGGCCACATAATCCTATTGGTTCGTTTAAACGGCGACGACCCGACCAACCTATTTACGCGAAACGCGTCGTCGAAAGGATTAAAAGTTCCACTCGAGCGTATTATTATGATGGAAGATTTTAATTCGATTGATTTTCAATAACCGAATTTGCTACAACAACACTTAGTGAGTTTGTTGAAACGTACAATCGCGTTTAAAATATAATATGCTTCCTAATCCACAATAACACCAGTTATAATAATATCGTAGTATGTTGAATAAATTTAAAAAAAAAACATGCAAATTCGTTCTATTGTTTTATTGATTACACATTTATATCAAACAGAATGACTGGATGTATATACATAAGCTCTTTTTGTTCTAAACTATAATATTGTTTTTATTAATMACGAATCTTCWAAAAAAAATTATATTGCCAATAAACGAAAATCTATATATTTATCTATATTTATGAGTGTATCGTATCATACAGCAATATACGAATAGAAACGTACCCATCACACAACTATGCGTATTTTTATAATTAACTATCAAAGAATACTTTCGTTAAAATTATGTTTTTGTATGAACATTTTTTCGACATAATTGGAGACTGACAAAAACAGGTAGTCAATCGTTTTTCCAAATTCCAGCATTTTCCCTTAATCTTCAGAATTTATTGTTAACATCCTACAAGGTTTAAAAATAGCCAATTCAATGTTTACAACAACAAAAATGTATACAAAAGACAGTGAAATGTATTGTTACGTCCATAAATCGTTTTAAGTATATCTTTTTATATTATTTTTCAATTGACAAAGAGGGCTTTAATTTCATTAAAAAACGATATAATATATTATACCTCTTACCTACTGCGGTTTTGCATCTGAAAAATTTTTTCTACGAAAATCGATTGAATAAAAGTGTAATATATATAAACGTAGGTCTCTAATCCGACCGATTCGACATGCTCAAAGGTCAGGTTTTTAAGTGAAGTAATAGCTGGTACACTGGTAATGCACTAAAGAGAGGTAATTCCGTTAAATACTTGTCACATAACGTACGAACATTTTTCACCTGTTTTTTTTCTTCAGAATCCAACCTACCTAAACTACCATCTACCTACTAGTATATATATATATATATATATATAATGAACGACTCTCGCTTTTTTATACGCACTGTTTAGTCTATTTTTGGGGTCGTACTTCAAAAACGTATATAGGTATACTGGTATGTCAATATCATATATATTATTTGAAACGTACAAATACCTAACAACATTGCACGCACCACACACGTGCGTTGTTCCTGTGTGACGCTCTGTGGCGGCGCCTAAGTGTTGGTCGTAGTATACTTTATAGAGTAGGTATAAAATATAATGACCATAATAATATAATGCGTGTATATACGCGCGGCGGCTAGTGAGTCGAGTAGGCGCGTGTGGGACGAACGACATCGCGGATGCGCGTTGGCGAAACTGGTCTCCGCTGTAGCAATGTACACACGTAATAATATTATTATATATGCCACTATAATATTATTGCATTATTATAGGTACTCGCGTTGTGCAACTGACGACGCGTTACAGTAATAATATTACACGCCAAAGCAAAACGGCCGCCATAAGCCATCGACTAAATAGGAAGCGCGACTTCCCTCCTTCGTCAATGTCGTATATTATCATACGATATTATGTTTTGATACATAATACAAAATACAATACGTTTCGTATGTATACATAATATTGTACCCGGTCTAACCACATTACATCGTAGTTATATCGGTTTATGATAAAACAAAACCAAAAAAGTGGTTACGTGCACGCCGCACATATTATACGAACGAACGACCGCGACCAACCCTCTTCGTCGTATAGTTCGGTGGTACACCTATTATATACGCATATATGTGTATAATATGATATATAATATTGTATGTATATACGTGTTTACCACACGCACAGAAGCAAATCAATCAAAACACGCGTACGATCGATTTATCCAAACGCGTTTGGTCTCGTCGACTTTGTGACCATCACATAGAGGACGAAGGAGGCGGACAAGGGCCGAGAGATAATCATACTCCGAGCGTCAGGGATTTATCGGAAAAAGAAAGACGAGCGAGAGAGAGAGAGAGCAGTAAAAATAATATAAAACCATCCCGCCGATTACTATATACCAATACATTGTATAATATATTGCAGCATATATATAAACGATACGATATTATATAATATATAATATTATGTATATATTATTATAATAATGTACGACGATAACTGCTGGAGGATTTTGTAGCCCGGGCCGGCCAGCACAGATCGGTATCTCGTCCAGACCGCTAATGACGCCATACGCGCGCGTTTAGATAATCTTATTATATTGTTATAATGTCAGTGTGTGCGTGTGTATATACAACTGGAAGCATGCACACACACGCACTGCGTATACCCGACGAATCTTTATTAGCGCCGCCGCCGTCGAGACCACCTACACCACCGATGAAGATATATATATATATTATATTGTACACTTTATATGTAATATATAATAGGACGACCGTGTGTCACCTCTGAGATGGGCAATTAATAATCCGATTTCGATTAATATATAGGTACCTATGCCCGGCGTCGAGGGGTGCTGCGGTCGTCGTCGTCGCCGTTGTTGTTACCCGTTATAAAACAAAACGAGAATAAAACGTATACCTACTTTAAAATATTATTGACGTCGTAATTTTGATTAAAACAAAAAAAGAAAAAATCAAGAAAAGCGTTCTCATTTATACACGTTATAGGCGGTGTCGTAATGCGTAGGCGTAACTAGGTCTTTAAGTTAGGTGGTATAGGCTAAAGATCTGACATACATATTTGGATAGCATAATTAAGGTCGTGGAACAGTCACCCTATAAACACGGTTATACTTTCAATCAAACACTATATAATATAATAAATACTTTTTTTTATGATACTTATAAAATAACCAATTTGATATTTTTTGTAGATTTTTATGAATTTTGTGGGTTATACTTTGTACTTGTTAATAAAAAAATAAAAAAATAAAATTTATGTAGCAGGGACGACATATTACAGAGTGAAAAGCATTAAGTTGTAAAAGGGTTAAACGTATTATAATTTTTTTTTTTAAATTGTACCCATAACAAAAATAACGTCGACGCTGCTATTATGTAAGTAGGAGTATACACGCAATTATAAGTGGGCTTATCAAACGATTCTTCCCCCAACAGTTACGCTTATATATATAAAGAGAGTGAAAAAAATAATCTTATGATTCATTCGAGGCAGAGATCGCAAGTCTTTCAGGGTCTCTTTTCAATATTGACGGCGGCAACGGCAGTCGCGCGGACTCCATTCCGTTGTCGCCGACCGGAAACATGCCCAGACGCCGGCACTCTGGCAGCGTGTCAACATACCGCGACGTCTAGTGCCTAGCCTTCTATACAGCCGCCGTGAACGCCGTCGCGTCTAACCCACGCGGCCGCCAACTTTAGCCCACATTGCCGTCGCGACGCCGTTTCCAATTTCTTCTCCTCTCCTGCAGCGCCGCCGCCGATGATGGTCCGTTCGCACTACCGCAACTACACGTCGCGTGACCTATCGCTTTCGCCACCGGCACGACTCTCGATGACGTCTTTCGTCACGACTACGCGAATATTACATACAGATGATGCACACTGCGTTCGCGATGTCATTATTATATATATATATATATATATATATATATATGCATTATGATGGATGCAGCGAAAAAAGTTCGTTCGACCAGACCACGCGGAATAACGATAATATAATAGTGGTGAATGGATAATATAATACCCTATATAATATAATACACGAACAATTAATAATATACGATATGACTAGGTATATAATACGAGTCTGACGCGAGCGGGACTAACAAGTTGATATTATATTTTTTTTATAATAGACGGCGAATTAAGACAGTTGATGGTACTCACGTGTGGTTGACGAAAGGCATACGGAGACTAGCAGGAGGAAATTGAACATGGTGAATGTGGCGGCGCGGTGCAGGCTTTGTGACGACCCGCCGCCGCCGCCGCCTTGCCGCCTCACTACTTCTTTGGATTCTGCTGTGCGTCTTCGACCTGTGAGTGAAAAAACAAACACATTGATTCATTAGTCATTTTACACTCAGCATTTACGTTATGACGACACAAATCATATCGTATTACACCTGCGATGAAATATATTATAGCGTTTTCTAACCGTTTCATTTATTGAATACTGACATCACAACCCACAAAAGTTGCAGATACTATATATCGTAGTATATATCGTATCATTCGCATCGCCGTCAAAAGTCACGATGTCGTCTTTCTCTGCACTGGTGTAAATAAGATTTACACCGTAGCATCATATTATCATGGAAAATGCTATTAGTTTCCTTTTATATAGTGTTAAGAATAGTACCTCGTAGTAGCGTACGTATAATAATATATGTATAAAAAACAGAGGGTAAACTTTTTAATGGGGGACGACGGCGATGGACACCTAACTATACATAATATTAAAATAAGATTGTGTATATAAATAATGAGCGCGCGCGTAGAGATTTTAATGTAATATATTATATTATGATGCACGGTGGCCGCCGGCGATGTTTTTAAAAGGTACGTCGAATTAACCGAGTGAAGATAATTGAGGTGCCCACCGCCACTACTGCTTTGGATTACACCACACTTCCTTTTTATGCTCATTTTCAGTGAAAGCATGTATAATATAATATTATTAAACATAGGATTTTTATCGGAAACGTCACGCTCGTAAATGATTATCACAGTTCATAAGTATAGTGATATTAAATTATAATTTATAATAAACACCACCGCTGAAAACGTCATCGATACGCATTTTTCTTGTCTCTCGGGTTGGCCGGCCATACGACGATAAAAAAGAGGGGAGAGGGGCGAGTTAATTTTCGTTTACTATTATAATATTATTATGTTGTTTTCTTTCTGCCTACACGTCCTGTGCAGCAGCGGCAACGGCGAACGAACGCGAAAACTCGGATATATTAACCGGACACACACTCGCGTGATTTCCATGGATTTTCTGGGTCGGTAACACGACGACGACGACGACAACATGCGTCGCCGTCGTCGTTTATTGTAATATGGGTTATGAGCTCGGCATGGAATCCGGCATGAAATTTGCGAGCGTTCCGGTTTGCCTTCCCGATATTAAATTATATTATCGCGTTCGCAGTGCGCTGAGAGTGTAACATATCATGTGCGTGTGTGTTAGTGTGTAATATAATGTGTCCACCACTACAATATAAGCGTACCACCGGCAGACGGACGAGCACGTGATTACAATCGGGTCATAACAAGTCTACAGCGCGCGCAGCCACCGATCGTGTGCCAACGCGTATATTATTATTATGTGTCTTCGCGAAGTATATTWATATTAGAATACATATGGAATAGGTATATGTATATAGTATACATGTTATTATTATATTATAATATAAAATTCGATTTCTCTCTCCTCTCACCGAGACGGCGTGTGCCGCGTTCAATTCGCGGTTGCTCGCTGTTCACACAACACCGTTATAATTTTTGATAATATTTCCTTCGAGATCATATTTGACTTTTTTCATGACCAAATACCTAGTGCATAGTATGCGCCAACCGCACTATTGGATTTTTAGAGAAAATCTGTCAATACTGGTGTCTCTGAGCCCGAGTAGCTAAAGAAGAAGAAGGTGAGCTGCATACGTCGCCACGTCGGGTATATAGTGGTAAATAAAACCCCAAGTCAACTTCCTTTTGTTTTTTTTTTACCCCCACAGCGGCTGTTAGTCGGTTGTTTTGTACGGATTCGTTATGTAGAAAAATAACATGGTTATAATACGCACATGTACATAGGTATACAGGTACACTCATACACACATACAAATATAGATGTATACACACACATACAACCACACACACAATATCGAAGATGAAAAATGGTGACGGACGACAGCTGTCTTGCGTGGGAAATTAAATACCTGAGGAAAGGAAGGTTAATTGACCCTGGCCAAAGGTGCAACGAACCCCCACCACCACCGTGGCAGCTACCACCCAAGCACTACGAAGACGACGAGCTACGATATAATAATAATAATAATAATAATAGGTAGGTACAGATAATAAATATAATGAATACACAACGCCACGGCAGTACACGGATAGAAACACTGCAAATGATTATTTGGTGGGTCATTTCGGACCTATCCCCCAGAGTCTGCACACCACTTTAATACATTTGTATATGTGTACAAGTGAATATAGTCGCATATTGTTCGTTCCACAGACGAAGACAGTCGTGACGATACGGTCCGGTTGACAATTTCAGTAATATAGTAATGGTGCGCCGAGTTCATCTTTTGCCCGGTGTTTTGTTGTAGTTGTACTTTTTATATTTTTTTAATAATAATACAGATGTATTTACGAATTCTCTTTATATATATATAAACATAATTTTTTATATTTATTTATTTTTGGTTCGCCATCCGTGACGTTACCACCGATGGATCTGCCAGTGGCGCAGCAGCGACAGTTCTTCCCCCGCAACCCGCACCGGTTGACTCAATAGTTTGGTTTAAAACACAGAAACTGCGAGAGAGACAGAACGAATGCAGAAGTCGTATTATATATTCACACAATCTGGCGACAATGATGAAACAAAAAGGACCGTTTTTTAACCAAAAACTAGTCGAGTTCAATAATCTTTTTCATACGTTTAAAAATCGTGCAATTATTTAATTTGGAAATTTTAATGTTTACATTCGTTTAGCACACATCATATACTTATAATATAATATACACACAGTGGAAACATGTCATAAAAAAGAACTAATAACTCTCTCGGTTGCACCATTGATTTGCTGCGTTGGAGGTCCGTTGACCTTGAACCCGTTCCGCCGAGAAGTCTTCCTTTAACAGAATTCTCTATTTAATCGCCGTGTCCATTGTAAAGCTGTTTAACGTTGCCATTTTTTTCTTTTCGAAAATATTGCTCTCTCTTCATAATAAACTTTACCGATCAACAAGTTATTAAGACACAAAAACTCAATAAAACAACACATTGCGCCAATATTTTCTCTGATTGTCGCACACTCACACATCCTCCATGCACATCCGATTCGATTGTTAATTCATACACTTATTTGAACATTTTGAAATTAACATTTATAAAAACGAGAGGAACAGTTTTAACAGCACAAAACCTATTGCCGAAAATGCATTCCAAATCGAGAGTTCTTAATCGGAAATTGCAAGAATACGTGATCAGCTGTTGATTAAAGCTCTCATTGTCAAAACATTCCGTGTATACCGGATGCCTCACATAAAATCTAAGTACAATAATAAGTAATAACTATATTATGAATCTTATCTCGATGAATCATACATGACGAGATACCTGACATATTTTACTAATTGTCGTTATACTAATAATATTTATTCATATTAATATCCGCAATATTTAACAAATAATACCTTCAAAAAAAAAAATAAATAATTTAAGACACCAAAATTAGTTTTGAAATCATGACGATAATCGTTTTATTCGCAACTCTCGTTATTCTTTGTAATATCCCGCGTGTATGCTTCGCATAAAATATTGGCATTGTTTATTGTCGTTCCCTTCGTATTGAATCATTTCATCCGATAAAAACATGATTTCCATTCATACTACTGTAGAAGTATATTACAATGGGAACACAATATCTTTACGTTTATTGAATATTTTGAAGAGATTAAACCAAGCGTTTATTACAAAATTAATTACGATGCTCAGTTGTTATGATATGTATTAAATTGTAAACTTTCTAAAACTAAAAAAAAATATACAAAATTCCAGGAATTTCTTATACCGTAACAGTTATTTATACATAGGTACTTCGTGTTTAATACTGTAAATTATAGGTTAGTATACACTGGACAATGGACACATAAGACTTTGCGACATAATATTATTATGAATAACATGACGCATAAAATGTATACCTACGGATTATTCTTAAACATATAAGCAATCAGCATGTAACTTACTTATCTTTTACAATTTAATAATAACCTTGGTACGTGAAAATGTATGTGTAACTACATAATATAATATATCGTACAATTTTATAACACTATTCAGTTATACAGACGCGGCCCATATATTTCGAGTGTAACGACTTCTTATATTCATAATTAAGTTAGATATCAATAGATCTAATAATTACGGGGACGCAAAAAATACTTTCTCCGCGGGAATAATTAAATGTCTAGCAATGCGGAAACCAGCCAGTGAATCACGTATGTGTACGCCAACAAGAAATTTAAAACACCAGAATATTTTTTATACAAATGACTATTGTTTTAGGCCCTCCAAAAATGAAAAAAACAACCCTTCTAGTAAAGCAAATTCCGGTCAAATTAGCCCCGTTCACATTAAAGTCGTTATTTGATTTCGGCGGTTCGTTTATTATTATCGGTTGACATCATTGTTTTTCCCCTTGACACAGCATCACCCCATTACTTTATTATATGTGTGCAATATTATATGTATAATGTGTATGGGTTTATACATACCATACATATTATATACCTATGTATATTGTAGATATTAACCAACCGCAGGCTGCTGGTATTTTACTGATATTGCTTCGTATTAAATATTTCAATGAAGAAAATATTATCCCAATCTAACGCAATATACGATTTCGGTAAAAATACTTTAGATTTCGTCGAGACGAGAAATATTGATAAAATTGCGGTTTATAAAAATAAATACGTTATCGGTTATCATGCATGTTCAATAACTATTGTCGATTAAGGTACTTAAGACACTTATTATAACAGTGAATGGAAATAAAGACAACTCAACGAAATTAAGAATAATAATAATTTAAATAAAAAATGCATATTATGAATAAACAACAACGGTACGTATAGGTACATCGAACAGTAAATGAAAATGCACACATTGGGTCACATGCATACAACATAGTACACTATACCTAATCTCCCACTCTATTCATAATTAATTAAATTAGCGAYGGCGTGTTTATCAAAATAATGTATTATATTATGTGATTACCTGAATGCCTGGCGAGAAATAAATAAAAGCCAGAATACACCGTAGACCAACAGGAGCCTTGTGGCATATTACAATCCGTTTCGTTATCGATTCGCTCTACCATCATCGATTTTCGAAATCTTGTCGTCTGGGTTCTGACTTAAGTTTCTCAGCGTCCTTTTCGACGTTCAGGAATCTAGTCCCGTGATATTAATAACGTGTTCTAACATCGCTTCAGACGTAATTACATCGTTAACGACAAACACGCGAACCTTACGCACTACATCACTGTGCATACGCCACTGATTGTGTTTTAGAAAACGGAAACACTAGGTATGTTATAACTTATAATATTATATAGATATATGATATGAGAATACGAAAGTATATAAATACTGCGATTCTGATGGAGTAAAATCGACACAGAGTTTTTTTTTAAACGCACTGCTCACAGAGAAGGGTATGATTTCACAAAGTTAAAAAAAAAAATTAAACATAAAGGCAATATAATTTACTCACTGTAGATTAAAACAAAAAGTAAGTTGAAAAATGGTTTTAAAAAAACACGAATAAAAGAAAATTTTTAGGTTTTACAATTCATTAAAAAAAAAAGACACTGAATCACGGGCGGAGACCGGCACACGTCTTCCGCAAAAACGTACGTTTTCAAGAATAACTCGTTTCGCTCGCACCACGAACTTACCGAATTGGGGTTTTCACTAGGGAGTGAGGTGATAACGACAGAACCCAAATAAACCCGATTACGATGCACGTCATGTTTTTAATATGATTATCATACCACACATAGTAAGTGTTACCGGCGCACGTGGGTGTGTGTGATAATAATTTTTTAACAAATTAATAGGTGTAAATAAATATAATTATAATAATATCGTACTCGGCACCTGAACCAGATAAGATTACGCGGACATAGAGCGACAACGAACGGCCGATCGAGCAACGAACCTACGACTGACGTACGTGCGTGTGTGTGTAGTCGCGTATACGGGAGGGACGGTGCCGCCGCCGCCGGGCCAACCGGCTCACGACCGTCGACGACCGTGCCCGAACCGGATACGCGCCGCCGTGCCGTGCCTCGTTTTTACTACCCGCACGCCGCCGCGCCGGTGGTTATGATATTATTTTTATTATTATTATACTATTATTACTATACGCAAGCACATAAATCAACCCTTCGGGAATGTGCGAATCACCGGTAAATTATTATTATTATTCAAATATTTAACATGACATAAATATTGTAATCAGATTTGTATGGTATACCTACTAT